TTGTCTGGTGTTAATCCCTGCTTATCTGGGTGTTGGTTGCTGGAGAGGATGTGTTCTGGTCATTTTGTTTCCTTCTTAGCTTTTTTATTGTCTCTTTTGAATGGTTGGTAAATATGGTTTATCTGTACGTGTCTGTTGATGGCTGATGTGACTGAATGCCAAACTTCCAAGAATTCCCTAGTTTTTAAAATTATTTAACTTGGTCTAGAATGCTCAGACTTTCTCAGTTGAAAGTATGATTGAGTCTGTCCATGTGTTGTGAGATTAAGGAGTTTTCATTGTGTCTTTTGACTGCTAGTTGGTGTTCATGGATGCACTCTGCTAGTCTTCCACCTGTCTGTCCTACATGGTGGTTGTTACAGTCCTTACACGGTATGTTGTAGATGACTCCTGTTTTGTCTTCTTGGGCTACTGGGTCTTTTGGTTTACTTAAGATGTTTAGGAGAGCTTTAGTTGGTTTGTGTGCTATAGTGATGCTGTGCGGTTGTAATAGTCTGTTGGTTGTTTCTGAGTTCTTGATGTATGGCAGTGTTATCCTTTCCATAGTTTGTGTTGGTTGTGCTGTAGTGGGTTGAGTGGTCAGCCACTTTTTGATAAAGTTGTGTATTAATTTTTTTGGAAGATGTTGTATAGGAGGTCTTTTTCCTTTTTCTGGTGTTCTGGGTTGCTGCAGTATGTTTGCACTTGTCTGAATAATGTTCTTACACAGCTCCTCTTATGGGAGGTTGGGTTGTTACTTTGGTCATGGAGCACTTGGTTAGTGTGGGTTGTTTTTTGATATTAGCATTTCTAATTTGCCATCATTTCCTCTGCTGATGAGAATATCCAGGAAGGGTAGTGTGCTGTTTTCTTCTTCCCTTGTGAATTTTATTCCTTTGAAGATGTTATTTCACGTCTTCTCTAGTTGTTCCTTTTTTATGATGATGAAGGTATCATTTACATACTGGATCCATGCTTTTGGTTGTGTGTGTGGGAGTGCTATAGTTTATAGCGCCATTTATATAAATGGCAAGGGAGGCAATAGGCTATATATAGCAAAAGTCCAGACTGCGCCAGAAAGATTTTTTCCACCCATCCTAATACTGCTACCCTGCTAGATTCATGGTTTTGTACATCCAACTACCCATAACACTTCTGTACTGCCTCTTTTCAGGCAAAAGAGCAGCTTGTAGACAGGAATTTACTGGCTGAGCAACCTTTCCTCTATTTAATACTAGGAAGAATTCAAATACCCTTTCTGCAAAAAGGCCAAATTAAAATCCCTTGCCTGCTCAGAGGCCAGCCTTCCAAAGCTGAGCTGCATCCAATTCTCCAGGAATCCAATTTCCAGGGCCAATTTCAGTATAAATACAGTACCACTTCCAACAACCATTTCATGGTCTTTTCATCTTCGGAGAACAGCTGAAGTGGATGTCACTGGCAGCATAAGTAAATGAGGCTGGCGTGGTGGCTCAGTGCTTGTTGATCCGAGCCTGTCTCATATTTGATCTTCATGCATTGTTCTATCTGCTTTAACTCACCAATCTTACCAATTTACTTTGCTTGGTATGCTTGTTTCACTGTTCTAAAAAAAATTGACTCATTGGCAGAATTCATTCATCAGTTGGTTTAGCCACGGGTTTACTAAATAAATCACAATGGTTGAGTTCACTCAACCGAGTCATAATTAATGATTTAGTGCATGATGTAACCCAAATCAGTACGCATGTAACTTGCAAAATACAGAAAGGAGAGTTACTGCTACCACCAAACCTGCTTCAGGATATTATACTGTTCAGCTTTTTCCAATGTGTTGACTGCAGTACAGTTCCCATCAGCCCAGGGGCTATAATAGATGTTGATGATGGAATGAGATCTTTACAGTAGTTCAGCATTATTAAACTTGTATTTGATGGCATGAGTGGTTTGCCTATATTGCAGGTTTTAAAAGTACCTGTGGAGTCCACAGCAACGAACTGCTAATTTCTGAGCCTCTGTAATGCCCATGGAGAGAGACAGGGTTTACAATTGCCAAGCGAATTTTACACCAGAAGAACTGAAGCAGCTGAGTCTTTGCAGTGAGGATTGTGGCCTCTTCCTTTAATTTTGTATACGCACATTACACCATAGGCATATATTGTAATTCTTGGATTTTTGTCCTGAGTGAAGTGTGAACAGGAAGAGCCCTTGGGATTCTTCCTCAAGATTCAAGTTCCTCTTTCTGACCATTCTCATTCCAACAATATGAATGTTTACTCTTTTTTACTTGTCACCAAAGAAAAGGCAAAAGGAAGCAGCATGGGTGCAAGAATTAGATTATATCTTATCCAGAAGTGATTATGATAGTGTTTATTTTGGTTAGCGACCAGATAAAATCCACAAGTGAAAAGCGTGGCTTAACGAATAACTCTGCAGTTGTGGATAACCAAACACAATTGACTGTGCTTGTGGAACAGAGATCTATTTGGGTTTGTAATTTCTTGTTTTTTAATTCCTATAACATACTTACGTTGTTGGACTAGGCCAGTTTAGCTTTCTGATTGCACCAGAGTTTCATAATTGAAATATGGATAACTCTATGGTTATTTGTGGTCATTTTTTGTTGGTTTCTGGTACTCATCTTTTTCACTTGAAAATGTTGTAATGTGTTTGAGTTCAATTGTATAGAAACTGAGTATACAAATAAATGATGGTGCTAATGAATTGTGCAAAAGAAAGGTGAAAGGGAGACTTAGAGAAATGGAATCTATCATTCCCAGTTCAAATCCATATTGTCTGGAATAAATGCTGGGGAGGCAGATACACGTTTAGATCATGGGATGCAATAAGCAGACTTCCTCCTTTAATCAGCATTTTCTTTGCCCACAGAAATAGGCTACAGGGTACAGCAACAATTTTTTTTTTTTGAGAGACAAGTAGAGGCAGAGTTACATGTTCAATATATTAATGTTAAACCAGCCCCGATTGTCAATGAGGATGTGCATATCATCATCTTACCCCTCCCCCACATGGCCTTTTAATCAAGGTCCCATATTTACTTAAGGTTTAGCAATGCCACGCAACATCAGAGTGGCTATAATTTCTGATTATCAGGAACCAGAATTTGAAACCAACAGTTCCAGATTTGCAGTCTGAGTTTGCCTCATAAACCTTTCAAAACTGGAACTTTGTGTATGGGAAAATCACACCTATGGTTTCCTGTAGAAACCCAATTGTCTGGATTTGCATGACCCATTATCCCAATTTGCAGGACATGCTTTAACAGTCTGTTGTGCACACATCTTAACCAAGCCAACTAATTCCAGAAATTAACCCAGAGGGATTAGTTTAGCCTGAAACAGCAGGGGTACTTGGGCTTAACTAACTCAATCAACTGTGTCATCCAAGTATGGACATGAAGGTTATCAGAGGGTTAACCAGCCCTTCCTGCATCTGAGACCCAGATATCCTAGAGCAGCCCCACAAACATGAAATGGGGCTTCTCCAGGCACTCTTTCTTGATCATCATTTTCCCCCTCCCTACAGCAAGGGATATCGGATGTGTTAAGTTTGCTGTTATTTTAATGATGAATTATCCCCAGCCAGGCTTCTCCACCAGGAAAAAAAAAAAAAGTGACAGGCATTTTCTTAGAAGAATCAATAGGTATGAAAAGGATTAAGTCCTCACTGAGCTCCCATTTCCAAATGAAAATCCCTGAAGTTATCCTAGCAAATTTATATTTTGGAACCAGCAGATGCTGAGTTATTAGTTGCCCTTGGATTTTAGCAAGGGCTGTATTTCAAGTTCTCACACAGAATGTGTTTTGCTTTCCAGATGGACTACAAAGTATACCTGGGAATCTGCCCACAACTTTCCTGTTTTATTTGGAAAGCCAATACTAGGCTTTCTGCTCTTTTAATTGGCGTGCAGGATGTGCTCAGGTGTCTTAAATGCAGTAGCAGCCTGGCAGTTAAAGCATAACTCAGTTAACGCTAATGTATTTTGAATGAAAGCACACAGACTAACTGGTGTTTTAATATGGTGTTAATATTTCTCCAGGAGACGCAACTGGCTATTAAACCAGCCTTAAATGTTGCTGAAGGAAGGAAAGCTAAATGACAAGGAGCTTCTTGGCATCAGAGGAGTTTTTCCACACTGAAGAGTAAAAGGTAAATGGTTCTCTTCAATACCTGAAAAAAATCTTCCAGGAGTTTTCACCAGCCTCAAAACTGTAGGTCACATGTATGCTGATTCTAAACTGGTACTGTAGTGTTTTGGGTTTTTTCTCAAAAGAATAATTTAGGCTTCCATTGTATTGTTTGGGGCTCATTCAGTGTTGTCAACTGACCAGAAAATATCCTGCTGTGACCTGTTTTGGAGTGTGTTTACACCAGCTTAATTTACAAAGATGAACAATAAAAACAGAAAAGATAAAACTTCTTTCTGCATGAAGCACATAATTATTACTTGCTAATGTCTGCAAACTTGTTAAAGGCACAAAAGTAGCAGTCAAGTGAAAAAGCTGGGCAACCCTCAGCCTGGATAAATTCCATGGCTTGGATAATTGGATCTAAGGAAGGATTTTGATCCCATCATGAATTATGCACAGATCTGTTAGGAAGGAATTGGAGGAACATAATTTCTTCCTCCATCCCCAGGCTGAATACAAATATACTAGTATTAATAACGTATGTGTCTAGGAATGTATTACCTGATTCCCTCTGTGTCAGACAGACAGTATTCTGCCACTGCAGAGAAAAACCCCATAATGATTGGAATTACATAGTATTCTGCCTCAATATGATTGTTGTTTTGCTGGCCTGCCCCTCCACCCCATCAGCTGATTTCTTTTGGGGGGAATAGAGAGCTGAGTATTTCATTGTGCAAAGCCTATGCCCCTCCCACCTCTATTTCTGCCCTCTTGGGAGAGAGCTAATTACAGGGGTTGGTGCAGACTAGCAGAACCTCTTGGAGCAGTCAGGACCCTCAACCCGTCCTGCAAAGGACGGTTCACTGCCAGCATTCAGAACCACACTCCCCATTTCTTGAAAACTCAATCTTTCTTCCCAAAGAATTTTCTGAAGACGGATTTGTTCTTCTGGCGAGATGAAGCACCTTGGTTTTGCTCACCCACCGTTTCTCGGGCTCCACTGGGAGTGGCTATGAAGGAGTGGCAGCGGGGCCGGGGGGGAGTAGTTGGAGCCTGCTCACCAATGTACAGAGTAACAGAGTAGTTGTTGCCAATCCCCAAGGGTTCTTTGGACTTTGATAAAGGTGTGATCTTCTGATATGTAGCTGAAAGAGAGAGAGACAGACAGACAGAGAGGGTCTTTGTTCATTATTTTTTTATAGTGTCAGTGGAATGGCCTGGCAACTCCAATTTTAGCCCCTGTGCCTCATCTCCAGGCCATGGTTTATGAAAATTACCTATAGGTGCTTCTTTATTGCAAAACACCCAGCAGCTACAAAGCACAGAGCACTTCCATATGGCAGTGTTTCAACTCTCCAAACCTTCTAAAGCATTTTGAAGTTAGACACGTGATCCCTCCTTCATGAACCTTGGTAGGTAAAGTAGAGGCTGGACCGATCAGTGATCTCTCCCAGCTGACCAGGAGGAGAGTACAAAAATCACCTATCAGTGCCCCACCCATTAAAGTCAGGCATCTTTTCCAAGAGGTTGAGTGTAGAGCTGATATATGTATGTGGGAGAACATGTAATTGCTTGCTTGAGCACAGAGGCTGGGAGGCAGGGTGAAGCAAGGCTTGTGTACAAACCACTTATATAATCAGAGAAAATCAATTTGGGTAGTTTTATTCTCAGAGGTAGTGAAACTGATTAGAAAGATTGGCTTTGCTGATAAGGTTGCCTGTGAAATCCACTAGAAAGTGCTTGTGGCAGGAACTGAGCCAGACAAGACTTCCTGTGAATGAGAAAACAGCCTGTCCTTGTGGAGCTCTGTGGTCACAAGTCATAAAATCGAAGTTGTGTAGATCTCAGCTGCACTGCAGCCAAGTTGGAAGAAAATTGTCTTGGCTGCCCCAGAAAGATGACATTGAGGGAGGTAGCAATGTAGTGCAATGTTGGATCAGAGCAAATGCCCAAAGAGCAGAGTGAAGAGAGCCAGGGCAATGCATTATTGTGGCATCAACTCTTTTTCTCATCACAGCACAGACTGGGTTCCACTAAGGATGGAGTGGGGAAGCTTAAAGAGAGAGAAGAGGCTGGTTGGGATTTTCAGGAGCAATCCACAGCCTTCCCCAGCCTGCAGCTCTCAATATGTTTGAGGACTATTATTCCCAGGATTCCCAGCCATCACAGACTGTACCAAGTCAGGAAAGGTCAGCAAATATAGTACCACTTCCTTCATCTCTTGAGATCTGGACTATTTCTAGTGCCCAAATTTAGCTTTGGGATCAGTGAAGGTGGCACGAATAACCTGCTTCTGAGGACTTTCAGAGTGCATTTGGTCTCAAGTCTGTACCTACTGACACCTCCTCCACATTTAGGACAATTACTTGGTGAGCATTTTGCTCTTCCATTATCATTAATCAATTTTCACAAAACTACTTTTTCAGAACTGCCTCTGACAGTTGCTTCTCGAAGACATTTGTCAAGGTGTAAGCATGCATATGCCACTCAGGAACAGTCACAGTTCCTTTTATCAGAGGCAAATTCATATCTTGGGAGTTAAATGACTGAGCATAACATCATTCTGAAATGACATTTATATACATCTTAACAAAGTTAAGGTAGATCTGGACTTACCAGTGAATCTCTAGGGATCTGCAGTTGGGTTGACAAAGATTTCTGACTTCTAATGCATTTCTTTTTCTGACTAAAAAAACCTACCATTTACTTTTGGTTCTCCACTCACAACCAATTCTTGGAGCTAGAATTCTCTAATTCTAAAGATATGTTTTTCATGCTAGGCCCCAATAGATGGAATCTGTAGATCTAGTAAAAACCAAGGTGTTCCTCCTGTATAACCAAAGTCTGCTCCTCCCTGTTTAATGCACCTTAAAATGAGCAGTGTATTTCAAAATCAAACATGTGCATTTGAATCCCAAAGTGTGCTTCCGGCACCTAGTGGGGATTTTAAGCAATAAACTTCTTACTCGAAAATAACCTTGACTTCTAACTGAAACGATGTAGTCTGAAAATAGCATATGATGTCATGGTAGTCACTGTAGACACATTTTAGTGGCAGATCTCTGAGCTGTATTGGAACAGAAAGATGTGTATCTAATAGTTGAGAAGCTATACAAACAGTTAGGAAGCCAGGGGGCAGATTAATAGTCTTGTTCCCTAGCTAACAACACTTATTTGTTTGACAGTACTTACAGATGGACTCATTCTAGCAAACTCTGGGTAGTGTACATGAGCAAACCAGTAACAACACCTTATATCTCTGTTTTTTCTTTATAGATATGCATGTCATACCGGAAGTGAATGAATATGACCGCCTTTTGCCTGTCACCAGTCCACAGTCATCTTCCTGACAGAGTTGAGGATCTTGTGACCTTGCTGGCTCCAAAGGGGAACACTGCTTCAGATTCTGTTCTGTGGTATAAATAGGTGCAGATCTGAGACCATTTCCTAAAAGGAGAGACACTGCATTAAGGCTGTTACACCTAAATATTTCAATTTTAGTTAGTTGTAGCCTTTAAAACCCTGTCACTGTTGGACCTGATGACCTAATTACCTGCTTACGGGACCAATATCAGCATATAATACTCAGCTGTATATCTTAGCCCATGGTGAGTTAAGCGATGCCATGACCCCCCTCTCGCAGTGCCTGGAAGCTGTTAAGGTCTGGATGGGGAGCAATGCTTGGAACTGAACCCTGGCAAGACAGAATGCTCTGAGGTTGGGGTTCTTTGGTCCATGGAGAATTGCCATCTTTGGACTTGGATGGGGTCGCACTGCCCCAGACGGACCTGGTGCGTAATCTGGGGGTTCTCCTAGACTCGTGACTCCTGCTCAAAGAGCAGCTGGCAGTCATGGCCAGGAGGGCCTTTGCACAACTGTGGGTTGTGGACCAGTTACATCCTTTCCTGGACCAACAGGCCCTGCTCACAGTCACCCACGCCCTAGTCACCTCCTGTCTTGACTACTGTAATGTGCTCTACATGAGCTGCCGTTGAAAAGTATCTGGAAGCTTCAGTTGGTTCAGAATGCGGCAGCCCACATAGTTTTGTGCAAGCCTAGATCTGCACGTGTCACCTCTCTTATGCAAGCTGCACTGGCTGCCAATTTGCTTCTGGGTCCAATTCAAGGTGCTGGTTGTCACCTTTAAAGCCCTGCATGACTTGGGGCCAGGTTATTTGAAAGACCACCTTTTCCGAGTTTTATCTGCCTGACCCACCAGATCCGGGAGGCAGGGTATGTTACGGGTCCCCCCTATTAAGGAGGTCCATGTAGTGGGACCAAAAAGAAGGGCCTTCTCCATGGTGGCTCCCTCCCTGCGGAACATCATCCCCGCAGAGATAAGACTGGCCCCCACCTTGATGCTCTTCCGCAAGATCCTGAAGACATGGTTTTGCCAGTGGGCCTGGGGATCCCAGGTTGAACCATTGCCCATCAAATGGCTAGTGTAAATGTAATGTTGTTGCCAGGGGGGTGGGGAGGGGTGTAGTGGGTTTTGTATGTGGGATTTTTGTTCCTGTAAGCCACCTGGAGTCACCGTGAGTGAGTTGGGCGGTCATATAAACTGCTTAAATAAACAAACAAACAAACAAATAAATAAATAAAAGCTTTGACACTGATTATGTAACCTTTGCTGTGATGGGGACCAAGAAATACATCTTAGAACATGTGTGTGTGTGTGGGGGGGGTGTATATGAGGGAAAGACTGCGATAAGCCATGGTTTGGTTAAATATGATTAGCTAGCTTCACACAACATGTAAAACCAAACCAAAACAATCCACTTTATGACTTAGTATGTTAAGTAAACTAAGAGTGAATTTGTACGTGTGAGAAAGAGAGTATAGTCTGGAATCACAAAATCAGAGAGAGGTGGTAGCACTAATTTCAAAAACAGAAGGAAAAGAACCCTGGTTTTGTATTGTCCAGACAGTATATGTGTGTGTGTGTGCATCTGAAGGAAGTACACTCCCATGTTTGTTTGGTTTTTTGCAGGCAGGATCTCTGTTCCTCCAGTTCTCAGTGATCACAGTTCAAAATTTGTCTACATAAATATCTCTTCCTTGAAGAAAAAACTTCCATCTGAGTAGATGCCCTTTAACCACTTAGTTCAGGCCAGCAAACTGCCTTTACCAGTTTCTCCAAGACTTCAAATGTCCAGAATAAATTAAGATGTGTGAATGGGGTCTATATTATTAGTTCTTACATGTGATGGAATGTATCTATGTGGAGGAGAGTGATGTGGGAGATCAAGACTATCAGGAAGGAGGGGGTGCATTTCAGGAGGGGAAAGGAGGCAAGAGGCAACACAGTCCACAGGGAGAGCATGAAAAGACTAAGAGATTCAAGATAGCCACTCCCTAGAATC